CCTGCTGAGGACACACGTTACTGGAGGAAGCTGTCCTGCAGACACACTGTTAGCCACATAACTCAGGCTTTTAATGTGCCAAGCTGCATTTTAAACTGGGTAGCATGGGATACAGGTCTGTCTGGGTTAACCCTGGGTACCAGTCATCCCAACCCAGTCCCATCTTTCAGTGTGTAAAAGCTTCCCATCCCCAATTGCTGTCGAAATGAGTTTACTATGCTTTGAGGCATCTACCTCTAACCAACTGTCACTTCACAGGTGAACTTGTGTCATCTGACAATGAAGTTATTCCTAAGTTATAACTTCAGAAGTTATTTCTGGCCTTTACCACCAGGTTGAACACAAAACCGGTCAAGTTTCAAACTAGGCAATAAATATTTTGCTCAGCCTATTACTCAGGTGAATAATCAGCCTCTCTGATGACACAGTCATAGCCAGAAAGGTTGCAGGAAACATTAAATTTAAAATAAACCTCAAAAATAGAAGGGGACAATATAAAAGCCTCAGAGCAAGATCAAGTGGTCTCACCTGTGCAGATCCCAAGTCAACCTACTGCTATGTTAGAGGACAGGATTTCAGAAGCACTCAGCAATCAGATTCTGACCAGAATCCAATATACTGAATATATTTTTGCTGGTGACCATATTGAAAACCTGAGCTCAGTGTCTGAAGTGATATCCGATTCTCCAGACTAATTAAAAATATATGCTATAAAGCAATAAGAAATTTGAAGTCTTCAGTAAAGAGATCCCGTTATATATTCATTATGTTTGGTTATGCAAATTCTGTTGCTGTTGTTGTTGTTGTTTGATTTGGGGTTTATTTTATAATTACTGAAATAACAGTCACAGAAAGGACACTCAGTCTCAATATATGACTTTAAAATTACCAGCCCAGGAAATGGCATATTAGCTTGCTATATATAGTTTATTTGAATGCATTTTGTGAAACTAATGTGGATCCTAGAGTTTCATCCCTCAAAGCACAAATGAAAACCTTAAAGCATGATGAAAGTTAAGGAAAAAAAGAATGGAGACTCAAAGGACAGTTATGTGAAAAAAGCTTTCACTTAGAAAAAAAACCAAAACTGATTCAGTAAGAGATATCTAACAGCACAGCTCCAAAGTGGGTAACTCGATTCTTCATCTTTCTTTAAAAAAAAAAAAAAATGTTTAGTCTGATGTTCAGTAATAACAGGCACTTGGCTTGTTCAGCTGTGGACTCTGTTGAAGTTATGTACTTACCCATGTTATACTTTCACACAACGATAACAAAGTCAGAGTAATTAGGCTAGCACTGAAATTTGAAAGGCTGCCCATCAAACAGCCAGAAGGAAAGAGGAATGTCCTGAGAAATTCAAGGTTTCTTCATTGATTCGACAGGCTACTTCCCAAGTGTACCGAGAAGCTCGGGGTCATGACACCTCAAGCAGGTGATGGAAGAGGAGGAAAACGTGCACCCAGTGGCACCTGGTGGAACTGCCCTCACCCAGGGGCTCACAGATGAGGGCTCCCAAGAACTTCACTGCTTAAAGCGCTGGTTGGACTTTCTGTAGTGGTACACATGTAATGGGCACACCACATCCACAACCTCTTCTGGTCAGTCAGAACATGACCAGTTCAGTTTTAGAAGACTTTTCATTTCATCATTAGGTAAAACAAGGGACACAGAAGTGAAGAAGGAATCAAACAAAATTATTATACCTTATATATGCTCATTTTGCATTACACAAAATTCACGCCTAGATAAACCTCTCTGTTTAAACCACAAGGAGAAAAAAAAATTAAGACAACCAAGGATTCTGTAAGTCACCTCACTTACAAAGGCATTACCTGGGAAAAGTAATATAATTGCACTACCTTTAGCACATACCCTTTTTCATCTAGGGGAGACTGTTTCGATCTCCACGGTGGGCTTTACCCAGTAGATCTATAATCTAAATTATTTTATTTCAGCAAATAGAATCAGAAGAACCAAGGTTTCTATATGGACAGTCTTGACCTCTCCTGTATCTGCTAGCAGCACTTCAGGAAAGACTTCCCGTCCTCCAACGATGGTGAGGTGTCACTCCTTCCTTCCCCAAATTTGATACCACAGGGATCTCAGTGTCCCCAGTTCCTACAGTTCAGTTCCACACTGCTTTTAGTACTTACCTGGAGGGAACAATCTGCCCCACATACATTAATATTTCAGTGTTAAAACAAAAGCTTTGACACACAACAAACTACAGAGTTTCAAAGCAATGCAATGTTTAGTTAGCACCACAGCTAGATTAGCTAGATTACATCTATTCAGTCTACCTAACTACAAAGTTTCCTGCAATGATAACTGGCATGCAAAACTTACACAAGATATTCTGTGTTATCTCAAATGGCTCTTTTTTGGCTAAGAAAGATGGAAATGGAAACTGTCAATGACTCTATCCATGTTCACAAGGCTTTCTAGCAAACAAAAATAAAATACAGACACAAAAAGGAACAAATACCATTTTAGTATTTTTTCCTGTCTTGTTGAATTAATGCCAAATTATCCAACAAAAGGATCACTTGCATTTCAATGCAATGCCTTTAGTGAACTTCCCTTTCATTTATAGAGTAAGGGAACATAAAGCTATTTAGTATATGTATGTACCTGGAGTTTCTGAATTAGTCCAGGAGTCACTGAATTTAATAAGATTTGCTCCTCAGCCAGCATCAAAACATTTAAGCAAATATAGTGGAGCTAGTTGATAACCAGGAAGCTTTTGGCCACATATACCTGATAAACCATCATAGCACTAATTATTTAAATCAGTTCACAGAGCCTCGTTTATTACACTGACCTCAACTACATAACAACATATAACATAACTTTACCTCTCACTTACAAATTGATATTTCAGAACTCAGCACTGATTTCACACAAGAAACAAGTTCCTGCTTCCCAAGTCATATTTGGCTTCATTTCTAAGATGTGGTGTTGGTACAAGACCAACAGCCCCTCAGTTTTAGTGCCCACCTCCAATAATAGCTTATAGAAGACATGCTCTGTGTTAAATATTACTGATACTGTACTGACCCCAGACTGGGTATTAGCTGTCTCTGGAAACAAAGCAGATAATGCTAACAGCTACCCGAAAGCACACAGCCCATTATTTTTCATGAGTAATTACTAATAATGAATGGATTGAAATAAAACAAATTAAAAGGTAGTATACAACATACTGGAAAAAATGAGAAAGTCTGGCTTCTAGGCACCTTAATAAAAAGAAAAAAAACAAACCCACCACACACTAACACTGAATCTGGCTTATTATACAGCAATTGCTGCTGCAATTTTTTGAACCTACTGATGACAGAAACAATTTTCTCAAAAAAAAAAAGTACTCAAATAAGCAAAAATGCAAAAAAAAAAAAAGAGAAGGAAGACATGAAGACAAATGTCTAAGAGAAAAGTCTGTCTCCTTTCCCCATATATCATTAATTTTTCATTATGAAATCTAAGAATAAAACATCTTAAACTTCAAGGTATTTAGATTTCCCCAGGGTTTAGGTGGGTAATGAAACAACTATTTTTCAATGTCTTGCTGCAAAGAGTAGATGATCTATGATGCTTCCAAACTAAGGACTGCAAAATGCCAAACAAGTCCATCAAATAAACACACACACACACACAAAATCATACACAGCAGAACCAAGAACATTTGCCATGGTCTTTGAGAACACGTGCAGCTTTTTACTCTTTCATTACTACAGAGGTTCATCATCCACAAAGCGCAAAGAATATATCCATCAGAAGCAATCTTGGAGCCTTTCTTGGCACAAAATTTTGCATTTCTATGTACTTAGTGGGGTAACTGGAGGTCTAGGGCCTCTGCTACTGGTGGTAGTGGTGGAAGTCAGTCAGAGCATTTTGCCTGGGAAAGCAACCAACTAGAAGGTGCAGGACAGCCCTGATAGAGGTTACCAAATATGAACCAAGCTGCTCTACTCAGGGGACTCCTGATAACAGAGTTTACTGCTTAAAAACTGCCCTCGAGGATAAGTCTTGCCAAACCGAAAGTTTAACAAAAGCCAGCACCTTTCACAGGGTGAACGTGCCCACAGTACGGACGTCTTTGAGCAGTTTCACTACCAGAGGATACAGCCAAGGGCCAGAGCATTTTCTCACTCATGCTTGCAAACACAGGATTCCACGGGCATAGCTGGCACACAGACACTTTACAAGCCCTACTCTTCAATGTGCAGTGTACTGATCTGCTAAACTTAGTCCACTATGGCATTTTCAAGTGTAAGAGGTAAATAAATTCTATTTGGGACAAGGTCTGTCTGATTTCTCAATGGTCCCTAATTCCCCCCCCCCCCCCCCCCCCAAAAAAAAACAAACACAAAAAACCCCACATCTAAATCAAATATTTTCAAGCAATGTCTACCCACTATAATTTTCATTAAAATAGAAATAGTTTATCCATAGAAGTGTTAGTCTGCTGGAGACCCTTTAATCAGTATATATTTGGGGACATGGTTTAGTGAGCATGGTGGTGTTAGGTTGATGGTTGAACTTGATGACTTAGAGGTCTTTTCCAACCTTAATGATTCTATTTGCACCTAAAATGGCACAATTTACCTTGAAGAATCCCATTTCAAAGGATAAATATCAAACACTGGTTAACATCCACACACACATTTCTGTCATAGGGTGTTATTTTTCCTAGAATTACTTTGAAACCTGAAAAATTCCAGTGAAATTGTCCTTAAAAATCCATTATTATAGCTTAAGGAATATACAATAGGGAAGACAATAGGAGAGAAGTGGTAAGATTAAGGCTAGCTTGACCCACCACTGACTGAATGCCAGCAAGCCACCGATGTGTGGTTACTCAGACAAGAGTTTGAAAAAATTACATAAGAAACTAAGAGATGCAATTGCACATAATACCAAACAACCTCTGTGTACAACAGAGGAAGTGCAGAGAGAGTTGGTAACATTTAGGAGGAAAGATTCCTGCATGTTACCCACTGGTTTATCCTTCCAGTTACGGGTATTTACAGAGGGCAGGTCTTGAGCCACCACAAAGGTGGCTGATATTACATGTACCCCATTACAGCTGCTGAAGTGGGCCTGTCAAACCTAAATAGTGAGTCTTATAGGAATGGTACAAATGCACTTCATTAACACACTCACTGCTGGGCTCCCAGGTGACACGCACTTAAGTGCCTATATTTCACTGCCATGTCAGCTAGCATGGCTGAGGTGCAGCAATTTCTCTCCCTCTCATCCCAAACCTGTGGGAATGACAAGAATGACAACTGTCATTTTGTTCAGAAATAAGCATTCTAGCTTATTCCATCTCTACTTGTTATTTAATTGGAGCTGAAGTTTTTTAAAACTAATCTTAGAGGCATTTTGCCAATAGCTTTCCAGTAGGAATCATGCTTTCAACATCATCTAAATAGTTATCTTGACTCTTGAATTTGTGTCTTCTTACCTGATAACATATTATCTGTTTTTATTGAAGGAAACTTCAAAGTCATTTCATGTTTGTGCCTGTGAATCATCAGATGATCCTCTGTTGGAAAACGCTGTCAGGCAAACAGAGAGAGAGAGAGAGAGAGAGAGAGAGAGAAAGAGAGAGAGGGAGGAAGAGAGAGGGAAAAAAAAATAAGAATTTAATTCTCTAATAAACTTTTGGCATTGGACAGAATTTCAAAAATGAGAGAGAGAGTAAGAAATGTATCCAGCTAGAAATGTGTCCAAATGGCACAGGAAACAGAATATTTGAAAATACAAGTGAGTATGAGTAACAAATATCTGTACTCTACTTGGAAACGCATTTGCTGCAGCACTCTCTGGGGTTGCAAATCGCAAGGTGTCACGCATCTGCTTGAAAAAGTTGCAGACCAAGTTTTGGATTCTAAGGGTCTCAGACACCCGCTTCAGCTACCGCAGCCTCACAAGTCACCACGTGCCTGAGGATCTGCGATAACTGCTGTTGTGTGTGCTCTTAGCCCACGGCAAACACAAAGTAATGCTGCAGATCTTAAATCACTTTGCTGTATTTTTCTGCTTTTGTGTCTTTCTGCAACCTATATCTGCTGAACAGCAATAAAAATAATCAAATAAACCAGCCTTTCCCTTCCTACCCAAAAATATTGAGGCAAAATGCATTTTTCATTTTGGAAACCTGTGATACTTCGTCTTGATGCAAAGTGGCAATGCAACGGTGCTTAGTATATAACAACTATTTATGATACTATATTAAATTCTTTGCCTTTGTCAAGCAGAGACGGTGGAGAGATGTATTTTGGAAGGAACTAAGTGTGCTAAGGATGTTTTACAGTCTGATAACAGACTTCTATAACAAATAGCCTCTTTTGAACAAGTTGAAGAAGAGACAAGCTTGAATAAACGCTCAAGCACTAGCACATTTGGGCTTTAGGAGCAGAGTGATTCTCTTAAGTTTCCTTCAGCAGAAGGTACATACACATACCTTCACTACAAAACACTGTAATAGTTTTAACAGGGTTATTTCAAGACTAGGGAGGGCCAAGAGTTGTATCACCAAGGCTTGAGGAAAAAAAAAAAAATCAAAAGCAGCTTTTTAAAGCAACAGGTATATAGGAGACTGTCAAAAACTGGCAATAACAGAGTTAAAGGGACTTAATGCTTTCAACACAGCATATTCTTGGCTAAGTGACTTTGCTTGTGGCTATAATATAAATAGTTGCACTACATTACACCTTCTGAGAATCTCTCTAAGCCCATAGACAAAGCAGCATAAATAATGGCAATGAATTCTCTGGAAAAAAAGAGTCCCAGAGACCTTTTCCTCACTGTGAGACCTTGGTTCATTGCTTACTCATCTGAAAGAAATGCAGCACTAGAAATTTATGTTAAGAACCAAGGGAATTTGTGAAAGTTCTTACTCAATGAAATTGTAAGGAAAAAAATGTTTCTCCTAAGGGAACTGGATTTTCCTTCATGGAAGCTACACTCTGTCTGCATGGTGGAATCAGCCAGCTTAAAGAAGACATGGGGTGATAGGAGAAGCTATTCCTCCAGTCCAGACTTCTGTGTCTTTTTTGTAAGTCTACTTTCTTCCTTGTGCAGAAGATCAACTCTATCAGCCCTCAAATATTCATCTGCTCCCACTTAGTAGAACAGCAAGGCTGCTCAGCCAGTTGTTAACTGGACCTCAGGCTTCGTCCTCTCTGTCCTTATATCAGCTCTTGGCAAAATCAACACCTACACTCCACTAATACTCACCCATTGCTCCACTGCAGGAACCTAAAGGCTTGTAAAATTATCAGCCAGCTGAAAATGCCTAACATACTCTTAATGCAGGGAAATATTATCACCATTAAGAGAGGACTCCGGGAAATGGGCAAGCTAAATCACTTAACAGATGCATATAGGAAGCCTGCAGCAAAAGCCCAAAAGATGCCCTTGCCTGAAGATTTTACTCACAAACTCATCACTAAACCATATTAGGATCAGAAGCACCACACATGGAACTTCCTTCACCACTGCAAAATCATCAACTTTGCAGAAGAAACCTGTAAATCTCAATTGAAAATCTCAGCAGGTAAAATCCTTGTCACTTCATGTTTTTAAAATAATTGCATATCTAGTGCTCCGGGTCAGATTATACCATCACAGGCACATGGCAGATCACCAGTCAACAGGAATCCCAAATGTACATCCTGGGGTAGAACTTACCTATAGGCTGCATTTCCAATAAAGAATATTTAGTAGGAATATATCTCAAAGATTTTTGGTGGAAAAAAATAGCGCTAATAAGCTAGCAATATATTTAAGTATTAAAAAAATCTGGAGGATTACCCCATCCATTAGGAAACTTAATATATTGCATCATATATCTAAGGAGAAGACAGACAAATGTATCCTGCCTAGTGTGTTCTCACTTGCTAGCCACTAAAGGAATTCGTAATACCTAGCTTGAAAATTCGGCTTAGGGACAAGGGAAGAAAGAGAAGCAGCTTGAGAAGCACTTTTACCAACTCACTCTTGACTGGCTGCTGTATTTGCTTTAAATATTTTGTAATAATATCTTGCGGGGTAAGGAGGGAATTGAGCAGGGGGAGGATTTAAAAAAATAGAATAAAATAACACACACATTATTATTAGACATGTGTTAATATATCAGGATGCATTATACAAGCCAGAGCTAGTGCTGAGGACTCAATTAATATCACCGCTGTCTCCACTCACCTGCGAGCAGCCTGGGGCACTGCAGACAAAAGGCCTCTCCTGCTCCAAGTTCATCTTTGATTCCTCATAAATCTACATGTTAAAAGGGGGAGGGGGAAAGAAAGGGAGCCTATGAATATATACGTTCTAAGCTTCACACATACATGCAAGATACAGTCATCACAGTTTGTGCTTTTATTTCAAACTCCCAAAACAGACAAGAACAAAGATTTAATCTTCGGAGTACTAAATTTGCTAATATTCAGCAGGGTCCCTACAGTCTAAGTACTTATTACTCCTTCCTGGGCACACATTTACTCTGAAGGAAGAAAAATAATAGGCTTTCACAGCAGAAATCTACTTCAGAAAAAAGCGTATGTTCAGTGCTGTTATTAGATAAGACCATGTCTGCTCAGAAATATCTCAAATTAAGGGTTTTTACCTTTCCTCCTTCAG